CGTATTTGTAGCAACTTTAAAGTTTGTTGTATTCCAGCAGTTTGAAACACACCTGACGCTGAGCAGTCAAACAGAAAAACGACTATTTCTAGTTAAGCCAGACAGCAGACCCGACAGCTCACACTTCCCTTTTTTAAGGAGTACTTCTACTAGAAACCGTGCCTCCTGAGGTTTCCTCACAGCACTGTATGCTGGACACCACAGGCTAAAAAGTAGCTGTGGGACAATAAATTCAAGATTTATTAATTAATTAAATTCATATCAAACTGAGCCTTAAAGAAGCTGATATGTTTTCATGTGACATGTTTAAGAGAAGCGTTTTCTTGTTTACCTTTCTGCTAGCCCTTCTCTGTTTTGTCAGCATTTTGGTTGTCTTTACTTGGGTTGATCGCACTGTAATCCCATTCCAAGACAACCAACGACACATGAACTTCCACTTGGTCACTTTTCTAGATAGACCATTTATCCTCATGTTTATATGCAAAAGGCAAGGCTCTAACCAGCAAGCACTCAGCTTAGCTAAAGACTGGAAACAGAAGAAAGTTTGTCTGTCCAACAGTCATGACTTTTTGCCAAGTGACCTGAAAAAACCTGGAACTAATCCTGTCAATAGATGAATCCAACATGAAACACCTCACTTTACATTTATCTGTTTGTATAGATAAAGCAAACGAGACATGATAAAATAGTTATAACAAAAGGCAGCCAACACAGAAGTGGCAAAATCTGCAGTTCCTCTAATGTCCACTTGAGGCTTACTCCAAAAGTGAGTCAGTCCACATAGACTCCAAAGTTTAAATGTCCAAATTTACAGCAGAAGTCAACATGTTTGCATCCTGATATAAAATAAAATAGTTTATATTTATAGATAATAGATAATCTCTATAGATAATCTTCCCCTTTGATAAATCTGTGCTCGGGTGACAGAAACTTTATGGAAAGTTTACACATGCAGCTTGCTGAACCAAAGTAGCATTACCTGCTAATAGCTAATAACTACAGTAAACATCCTAATTCATCTCTATGGATGTCACAGAAACTTCAAACCTTAAGTCCAAAAATCAGCAGATGCTGTTCTTATATAAAGTCTGTGGTTATATTTACGAGCTTTCATGGTGCTTCTAGGTATAGCTATGCTTTTTTTTTTTAAACATTCACCATGCTTTTGGCTTTCATGCTAAGGAAGTGCCTACCAGCTTTTAGGCAACAATTCAATTCAGTTCAATTCAATTAGGTCTATTCACATAGCGGCAAATCTTAAAGATACTTTAGGGCATTTTAAATGAAATACAGTGTATTGGGAGTACCACTCCAGGTCAATGGTGTGGAGATATTTGGAGGCTGCTGCAGTGTAAAAAAATTAATATGTGGTCAGGTGCATAAAAGGGCTCAAAAGATAAAGAGGACTAATTCACTTTCTTATCAGCAGTAGACAGCATGGCTGTTTTATCTCAGTGAAGCTGAAAGTGCCAAAAGATTTGGTGCCTTTGCAGATTGTAGGAAAAACAAATCTGTGAATATAAAGGTATGTCTCGGTGTTGGAGTATTAACCTTGTAGGCTACAGAGGAATGCCTGAACAACACTGAAGGACCCTGCTGATAAAATCAGCCACTTGTTGTGCTGTGGAGCTGGAGGTCTTCAATAAATCAGTTGTTTGTCGATTGTGCAACACTGGCTGAAGTCTCGGGTGACGCCTGTTTTCCATTGTTTAAAGTACAAGAGAGGAATTTCTTTAAATGTGAGCTTGACTTGGTTCTTGGCAGCTGATAAACAGCACAAACAGATAACCGTTTAATTTCCAGTCAAAGAACAAAGAACAAAGAGTAACTGATTATCACGCACAGTGCATCCCTAATGGCCTTCAAGTACAAGACGTCCCTGTATAATTGGTAAGGAGTTCAAAGAATCAATAACAGTGTAGGATTTCTAGCTTCTGAGCACAGAGGCACACCTCTGTGAGAGAGGATGCATTCAAAAACCAGCAAACACAGAAAGAAAGAAAAGTTATGCGAGCAAAAACATGCCTCACAAAAGGACAAAAGCACGGATCGGACTGGACTGATGCTCTCCCTCCTTCAAGTACACCTCCACAGCTATTTACTTGGTGAGCAATGGACTTGATATAATGCCAAAATACAAATACGCTCCACACATGTACAAATGTGCAATAAAATGGCCCATTCATGGCTACTCTGATTCATGATGAGTGGATTATGTGATTGTTGGACGGTGGTTGATATTACTCAGCCTATTCTTTGGAAATGAATGTGGGAGGCTTCCTTGAACTCCTCGCACGCACCAGGTTGGCCTTCACCGGCTCAGGGTTAGGCCCAGATCCACGTCTACTACTTTTTATATGCAATTTTTACGCATTTGTTACACCCAAAGGTTATCATGAAAAAACTTTAAGGTGAAAATGCATGCAAGAACCCCGTGGCAGGACTCCAAGAGCAGTCATTTTCTTCACCATTTTCTTTTAGTGGGCAGGTGTTAGGTGTACATTTAATGGCTTTACTGGCCTGTCCGGTGTCTACCTCACCTCACCAGGACAGGGCCGAGTCACTCTATTACTCTAAATTGGTCAAGCGGTTAATAAGATCTCTCTCCTAGTCTAGTCAAATGCAAAATTATGTACAGGAATGTTGTTGTGCTGTCCTTTTATCAGTTAGAATGAAATGAAACAAACAAAACACTCTCCACCACTGAGTGAAGAGTAAGAAACTCTTGACCTCTTTCTCTGGAAACCCTGACCTTTCCTCCTGAGCTTGCTGATAAAGACACTGAGCCCGGGGGCATCATGGTGTTTATGTCACTGACGAAGGCTGAGAGGTGATGGCTGTGAAAGGCCAGATAAGTATGTTTCCCATGAAAAATACAATGATTCAAAGCTTATACGCTGGTATAAGTAAGCAGCGTAAAAGTCCGGCAATACAAGCCTGTGGATGCCAGTGAATTTGATTTCAAGAACAAAGACATTTCCATTTGTTTTGGCTGTTGAAATGATCTGATTGACATTTATTTCTTGATCTCTATTCTGCATGGAAACACCGGCAGCAGCCGTGCAGCTTTTACCATCACATTATGACCAGTTTTGACGTCAGTGATAACATCGCTGATTCTGCCATGTTTGCAGGATACACATCAAGGGCCAAACCAATGCAGTCTATTGACATGCTTAAATTAACCCAAAGATAAGATATCCATGTTAATAATGCTACATACTTAGGCCACGTATGCTCCTTTGTTTACTGTTTGCAGTGTTTTGATTTTACTGACCTACATTAATGTGTTACTGATGCACAGTATATATGCATGATATTTATATGTGGTAGGATAAACAAGCCCTCCTTCTTTGGGCTTTTGACAGGAACAGAATATGTCAGATTATTATTGTTTATCTGACATGTTTTCCGTCACCTCATAGGCTGGGTCCTGATAGTGGTTTGAGCGGCTACAGCTGGAAGATGTGCTAAAAAAACCTCAAAAAAACTAACACTAGTGCACGCTTCATTGCGGGTTCTGATTATTTCATTCTGTAATTTCAGAATAAATTGTTTTTTTGCCCATACATTCAGGGACTCAAAAGGAAAGTCTGACTTTTGAAACTACAGTCAAACAGTGCTTTAAAATAAATACCTCCAATCCAAATATTTGTATGAATATATTTGTACAATAACATTTCTGCCCTGTTGCTCTGTTGTTTGTCTTGCAGTCTTAATGCACCACCCATTTACATTCACAGGGAAGTTAGGTAACTGTCATACATGAATACCTGGAATTCAGAGTAACAGTTATTTGCATGCAGTAACCATGCTGACTCGGCGTTCTCTCAGTTCACTGCAGCACTGGCCTGCAGATTTTACAGATCACTTTAAAGGGTTTTTATCCACCTGGCCCAGATATCTGTCTGAACCTCTTGATGCTCACTCTCTGTTTCCAGGTCAAAGGTTCAAAGTCTCAGTGTTAAAGTCTTTCCTCTGTGTTTCTTTATGTCATTCTGTCCATCTCCCCCTCAGCTCGGCGTATTTTTAGCACGTCACTGTCTTCTTCTGTCTTTTCCAGCTCTGCTATAAATCAAGACTGGATTAAACCTGTGCTTTTACTGCCCCTGACCTCTAATCTTTTTTTTCCACTTTCAGTATCCAATCAGAAGAGTTAGAAAATGATTCACCCTCATAGAGTTTTTATGAAGGGGGAAATTATCCACAGAGGCCAAATCAGTTTTTTGTATCATGTTTATTTCTGCTGGACACTGTAACACAGGAGTCTACAGAGACTGTCTCACTTTTTCAGCCCCAGAGGCTACATCTTGGATACAACACATTGTGTATCCACTACAGTGTTTTATTTCATTTGTTTAACCCACACAGAGAAGCAGAATAATAAAGAAGGGGTGTGGTTTGATGGGGAGTTTTTGGCGGATTTAATTCCTGACCAAACCAGTTTGGATCATTTCAGGTCGCCAGGCTGTTGGACAGACAAGCTTTTCCGCTATCACCTGCTCGCTATACAGTCTCACCTTTTATATGTAAACGTGAGGTGAAATGTTCTACTCAACTATCTCTGAGAAACAAAGTGACCAAGTGGGGTTTTTTTAAATGGCTAGCAAATCTTTCAATAGCAACCTCAGCTGCTCAAAACTGATGTAAACCTGGAAGACCCACAAACTCCAACTCCTCTAATGCCCACCTGAGGCTGGCTCCAGCGGTGAATCAGTCCCCATACACTCCCATGTTAAAATGTCCAAACTTACAGCAATTCAATTCAGTTTGATTTATATCGTGCCAAATCACGACAACAGTCACCACAAGATGCTTTATACTGAAACACATGGCTGCCAGTTTAAGGTCTGTTAAGGCTCATCTGAGGTGGAAAACCCGGCAGAAACAGAGGCAGAGCGGAGACATCCACTCAGACTCGAAGAGGGATTACATTTACAGCAGTCAGTTCATGCAGTGCAGCTTTCAGTGGTTTACAACGAGGAAGGTGTCCTACATACCTGGACGATAAGATGGCAAAGTCCCCACCATCAATCAGGCGGATCTTACAGAAAAGCACTCCGTTCACAAAAGGCACCGCTGTCAGCTCCTCCAGAGTGAAGTGCACCTGAAACTTGAACTTCTTCTTCTTCATGAGGAAGGCCATGGTGCTCAGCTGCTGGAGGGTGCTCATGGTTGAAGATGAATGAACAACAACAAACACTCGGGCTTTAAAGAGAAGGAGGAACAACCTTCTTTGCTTTCAGGTTAATCATTTCTGAAACAGAAAGAGAAGAAGAAAGTCTCTCGCTTTCATTTACAGGTTTTTAGAACTGGAAATATCAAGTTTAATTATTTTTTTTCCTTCTCCACAACACAAAAATATCCCTTAAATACAATTTAACGCACTCCTAACTGACGACTATGTGATTTTAAACACTTTCAGATGTGTGGATTTTTTATTTTTGTGCCTTTTCTCTAACATTATCAGACTCTCGCGGTGAAAACAGCTGCCACGCAAACACCCACACCACTCCGCACACACACAAGCTTACCGCTCCGACGATCAGCTGCTCCACATGCATGGTTAAAAAAAATAAAAAGCTCACAACAGCACAGCTGGACACCGCTGCAGAGGACTGGGTCTGGGTGGTTTCTTCCAACACACCAACTTTCCCCTCCTGCTGCTCACACTTCGACAGGCAGTGAGTCTGAGCGGCTCCCTGAACGCCTCACTGGGAAGTCAGGGACCGTCCGCAAAGTCTGGGCAGAGGCGCATGTGAAGAGGAGGAGGGGCCAAGAACTGCATTAAAAACAAACATGAAGAGGAAGGCCACTGGAAGGGAATGGGGGCTCTTTTGGATTTTAATTTTACTTATTTATTTTGAATGTTTAGAAAAATAGAAAAAATATAGTATAAAAGCACAGTCAGAATTCAGATTTCTTTTCCTCAAAATTCTAGAAAGAAATTTCCAAAAGATCTCTAATCCTAAATAAAAGAATAAATCCTAAATCAAACCGTCTGAAAATTCTGTTGCTTTAACGCTTTAACTGTGGACAGACCTGACTCTATAAACATGTAAAACACCAAAGAAAACACCCTGCAGTTCCTCTAATGTCCTACTTGAGTGAGTGAGTTGCTCCTCCGTAGACTCCCATGTTAAAATGTCTCGCATTACAGTAGGAATAAACATTTTTACAGCCTGATACACAAACTATTTCAGTCTGTAGGAACTTATGATCATAACATCTGTAGAGGGGTGAATTTATTAAAAACTCACCTGTTTAAATTACATCAGGGACAAAGCTTGTATTGTTAGGGGTGTCACATGCAACTGGTTCAGAGCCCAACTCCCATTTCTTTGTATTTGCCATAAGTGTTATATTTAAAGGAAAATGTGTTTGCACTTTTAATAAACAGCTAGGTTTGATTTAGAAAATTACATTTAGACATATAAAGATTTAAAACTTTATCAAACTTAACAACTCGTTGACAGTGTT